GTACTGCAGCGAAATAACAGTAGTTAACAAAACATCAAGCCAAACACGTTATCTCATATTCCGACGAGAAAGATGTACCTTCGACAAACCATCCATTGAAGGTCAGATTAACGTGATTACCATTATATTGACTCCTTATCGTTTTTAGATCATATCTGACCAGAAATTTGATGCAGTAAACTTAGTGCCGGACTGATGTAAAACTTTGTTCTCATATTTTTTAGAATCTTCACAGTATCCATCTCAAAAGATNATTCCGACGAGAAAGATGTACCTTCGACAAACCATCCATTGAAGGTCAGATTAACGTGATTACCATTATATTGACTCCTTATCGTTTTTAGATCATATCTGACTAGAAATTTGATGCAGGAAACGTAGTGCCGGACTGATGTAAAACCTTGTTCTCATATTTTTTAGAATCTTCACAGTATCCATCTCAAAAGATATCTCCCTTTTTGGCGTTGTTCCTACGATAGTTCAAGACGAAGTTCTTGGCTTAGTGATGTCTTGTGCGCTGGACGGAACAGCTCATTTAGGATATACATGAACAATAATCATAATCTATTTAACCGGTTAAGTTGCCATTTAAGGCTCCCTACTCCCTTCCTTCCATTATGGTACATGCCATAATTAATCTGACGTAGCTTTTGTGGTCAATATTCCAAAGCCCTCGCGTAAGGTTTGTTTGATTTTCAGCAATATTTTTATTGAGAAGCATATACACTACAAAACTCGAACACTTTAACTAAGCAGTTTGTATTCTTCATGATAAATTCGCCATCGTCCATCTTCCCTTTTCCGAATATGGATCATTTTGCCTTTGAAAAATAGCGATCCTCATTCTTTTTGAGGACTTCGAAGTTGAACTCAGCTAGCTCTGGCGACGTATCTATGCCGAAAGCTCAGCGTGATGAGCGGCCTAGCTCCGCAGCTGAGGAGAACGTAACAACAACATCGAAATCATTGGAAAATGACGAGAAAGTAAGAGTAAAAGGAAAAAGGGCACTGGCCTACGCGCTCACCTTTTCAACACAGCTTTCCCTCGTG